GGTCTATCTCTGTCCCTCCTCTGTCCGCACAGCTGTGAAAGAGAAAGCTTCCGCTGTGATGTACACGGCAGTCACTCCCATGCTGAACCCCTTTATCTACAGCCTGAGGAACAGAGACCTGAAGGGGGCCCTGAGGAAGCTCATTGCCAGAAAGGTCACATCTTCCTGACCACCAGGACAAAGGGGACTCTCTATAGAGTAGAATCTAAAAACTTGGGGTCTTGGACAAAAGTCTGGACTTGCCTGGATTGTGAAAGCAGTCATGTAGATTTGTTTTTTGGAGGCACTTTTTTTTTTTTTTTTGGTACTGGGAATCAAACTCATGACCTCACATTTGCCAGGCAAGAGCACAGTCACTGAGCTATATCCCCAGCCCTTTATGCTACCGGGAATTGAACTCCAGACCTGGCATTTGCCAAGCATGCACTTGTGCCACTGAGCTATATCCCCAGCCTCGTTTGGAATTTTTGAATAATAGAAAAGAAACCTCAAGAAGGTTTCAAAAAGAAACCTCAAGAAGGGCTTGTTGCTATTTCCTCAAACACTAGAAGTAAGGAGCCTTTTGGATATGTCTCAAACTGTCTAGTCCAAAGGATCATTCTAGCCCTTCCACATAGGGTTTGCTTTGGTTTGGAATTCATGTAGCACTCAACAGGTACAGATGAACATTGCACAGCAATTGGGATATGCTGTGCAAAGTGCATCATGGGTACTTTGTCACTGTAGGAGCATCATAAATTTCACTTATGTAAACTTAGATGGCATTAGTCAATCACTAGATATGGTTTCTTGAAATTAAGAGATGTGATAAGATGAGATGGATGGGGCTGATATCTGCATTGCACAGTGTACTGTTCCACAGAAGACATTTTTTAATAAGTGGAAAAGTTATATCTAACATAGCAATGAAAAGTATAGTACAATAAGTACATAAGCCAGTAAAATAGTCATTTATGCTATTGTCAAAAAACATGTACTATACTTACTAAGTGTGCTAGACAGTTAACAGTCTGATAGAGGTAGGCTGGTTAAAACCAATACCTCCATGAATATATGACTGGTGCATTATGCTACAAATTACACTATCTATGGTGTCATTGGGCAAAACAAAATCGCCAGCTATAGGTCAAGCCTGTGATCCTGGCAACTGGAAGATCACAAGTTCAAGGCCAACTTGGGCAATGTAGCAAGATCCTGACTCAAAAGGAAAAAGGGAAAAGGATGTAGTTTAGTGGTAGAGCACTTGCACAGGGTCAATTCCCAGTGCCACGAATATAAAAACTAAAAAAAAAAAAAAAATCAGCCCCATTATAATCTTATGGGACCACTGTCACAAATGCAGTCCACAGTTAGCTAAAGTGTCCGTAGGGGTCACATGACTGCTGAGTAACTTATTCTGAGCTTCGTACTTGGTGCTGGCCACAAAATAGTAAGAAAGACAGTGTGATTGTATTTTGGAGTTTATCATTAAGTGTAGGAGGAGATATAGTCGACATAGTTAAAATAAATGGATTAAGATACATAAAGGAGGATGTGAGGGCAACATGGCTGTGACATCTGCCACCCCGTTGATGAGATATGTGAAGGAAAATTCATAAGAGGAACAAGAAAGAAGAGAAAGAGATTTAGGGCATACACAAAAATGAGTAATAACTACCTAGTTAGCATATATCTTCATCACCAAAAGGAAGATATCAGTCAGTTATGACACGCATCTCTAAAGCAGAAGGAAGCTGAGACATGGCTGAATTACCTTATATGCCTATGGAATGCATATGAGTAATAAAACTGCCTATAACAGAAATCACATTTATGAATTTTGCATTTAGCTGTCACTTTACTATTTCTCCAAACCGTTTCACTTTGTCAGTGTAAAGTCCCCATGAAAGGAGTAAATTATATTTATGTCTACTGTGAAGTAATCCACACATTCATCTGGAGTCTTGCAACTAAAATAGAGTGAGTGGTGAGTTGGAAGGGGCCAGAAATTTTCAACTGGTGCCAAGAAGCTGACATTATCTTAAGCAGAATAGTCTTAAATAGTCATAGATCTCATTTTCTTTTACTACTTTTATTCCAAGAAAAATAAATTACAATTTCTTAGGTCAACAAGCCAACCTCCAGACTTGGTTTTGCTGCATATCTAGGGAATAATGTAAGAGGATGAAGAAAATCTACTTTTTAGGGGTTATTCTGGTGAATAAAAGACAGAGTTTAAGAATACTGGAGTTTGCTATGGGAGTCCATGAGTCTAGTCAAGGTCTTCATGGAGTAAATCATAACCATGTGGGAGCTGAAGTACATAGCCTCTCTCCTTGTGAGTTCCCTTCATTCTCCTGCCGTACTCATGCAAGAGGTTATAGTGCTGGTTGGGAGAGCACTGAAATGAGTGGAGACTTGGGAATTTATCACAGTCTAGGTACTCCCGGGAAGTCCATGAAATCAATATATCTGTATCCAGCTTGAGCGGAAGAATTTATTTATCTTGCCATCTCCCTTTCCTATGGAATAAGAACTGCTGCAGGTGCCAATAAAATTGCTTAAGATTTTGACAGCCAAATGATCTCTGTCTCATTCTGTGTTAAGAAATAAAGGCCACAATGTCAGTACAGTTTTGTTCTTGTAGCCTTTACAATATGAATTTCCATCATTTATATGTAAATATGCATTCACTAGATGATGGATAAATAGATAGATAGAGACAGATAGATACAGATAGATAGATGATAGATAGATAGATAGATGATAGATAGATGATAGATAGATAGATAGATAGATAGATAGATAGATAGATAGATAGACAGATGATAGATGGCTATAGATAGATAGTGCCTGCCCTGGATTAGCTATTATGCTAGCACTGCAGATAGAGTTGTAAGAGAGATAAAAGCCATTTTCTTTTGACTACACAGGAATAGATTTGGGGAAAATGAAGCTGTTCTGTATCCTGACTGCTGAGCAATAACATTCAACAGGCTGAAAATTTAAATGATTCTCCTGTTGCCCAGATTCCACAAATGTCTACACATGATAAAATTAAAAACTTATACAGTCATTCAAGAAAGTCGGCTTTATTGATGTTCATTTTCAAAGATAAAACTATTGATGCTTTTGAATTTACAATAAGATTATGTCCTGATAACCTATCATAAATTGAAAAATGCATTGAATGCACTTAAATTACTGCATATTCTAGATTTTCCTAGCCTACCTTTAACATGTTCAGAATACTTATATTAGCCTATAGTTGGCCAAGATCACTTAAAGCAAAGCTAATTTTTGCGGGTACTGGGAATGGTACGCAGGGAGATGTGCGTGCTGGGCCAGAACTCTTGCTACTGAACTACGTCTCCAGTTCCTCAAAGCCAGTTTTAATAAACTGTTAACTACTTCGTGTAGCTCATTGAATACAGAACCCTGTGAAGTATGCAATCACTTGCTTTCCTCTTAGGGTTGAAAGGCTGACTGGGAGTTCTGACTGGACCTGGCAGCGTGTCATAGAGAGAGAATCTCATAACACGCATCACAAGCTTGAAAGAATAAAATTCAAATTTCAAAGTATGATTTCTGCCAAATACATGTCAGTTTCACACCACTGTAAAGTTAAAAACTGTAAGTATGGCCATCATAAGTTGGGAGTTGTCTGTAGTAAATTGTACAAAATAAATAGACATTCCCAGATTAAATTTTACCATGGAAAAATGGCAATAAAGACATACATAAATGGACTCAATTGCCAGTGGTGAGAAAGATTTCAAAGACATCATTCAGAGTGTGATGAAAGAGACAAATAGACAGGTACCTTAGTCTAAGGTTTCTGAGGCCTTCTCTGATGAGCATGATTCTGACCTGGGATCTAAATCTGGCTAAGAACAAAGTATTTTGGGGGTGGGTCATGTGACAGAAAGGGCCTCACAAGAGCAAAGCGAGGAATAAATTAGCATTTAAGTACATTTTAAGAGGTCACCCTGAGATAGATAGATAGATAGATAGATAGATGATAGATAGATGATAGATTGATAGACGATAGATAGATAGATGATAGGTGATAGATGGATAGATTCTTAGTCTTGGCATAAAATCTCACATGCATTATAAACATAACATATAAATCAACTTTCAACAGCTAACAGTTAATTTGTCATAGTTTCTGTAGGTCAGGAAATTGGGAGTTGCAGCAGGGTGTCTCATACCCTATGGCTTCTGCAAGAGCTGAAGGAACGCTGAGCCTTAACCAGGCTGGAGGGTCCACACTCTGAGCAGACCGCACCTCTCTGTTGATGGACGGTGGCAATTTCTGGCCATGTAGGTCTCCACATTGGGTGGGAAAAGAGAGGAGGAATGGAAAACAGAGAAGAAAAATGAAAAGGAAAAAGAAGAGGAGGAAAAAAGGAAAAAGAGAAAAATGAAAGGTGTGAAGGAGGAGGGGAACATGAAAGGAGGGGGTGGAGGAAGAAAGAACAAACAAAATGAAGGCACAGTGTTTATAACCTCATACCAAAAGTGACACCCCAACCTTTTTCTGTATTTGGTCATCTGATGCAAAGTCACACTCACAGGGACAGCTTTCACAGGAAGTAAATATCAGGAGGTGAGGCTCTTTGTGATTTTTAGCCCGTTGCAGGCTGCCTACCACACTGACATTCTTGTAGCTGGCCTGCTGTCAACCGAGTGGACTCAGGATGTCACAAGAGGGTGAGGCTATTCTCAAGCTGGGCCTTGGTGCTTGGGTCTGGATTTGTCCAACCCTGGACACTGTAGTGGTGTAGTTCCTACCACTTTGTTTGTAAATCTGTATTGTCTGTGCTGTTCTTTTGCTATTTTGTGAAATGTTGTCTGTCTGTTAATGTTTTCCTCCTTTTATTTTTAAAATTAAAAAATGAAATTAAATTAAAAAATAAAGATGCATGGGGCCAGCAGGAGCATGTAAATTGGAAGTCTCAGGTCTCTCATGTTTAGAGTCAGCTTCAAGCACAGGTGTGTGTATGTGTGTGTGTGTGTGTGTGTGTGTGTATGTTTGTGTTCTGAGCCTAGGAGTGCTCTACCACTGAGCTGCACCCCTACCCCTAGCCCTTATTTTAATTTTATTTTCTGATGGAGTCTTGCCAGATTCTCCAGGCTGGCCTCAAACTTGAGATCCTTCTACCTCAGCTTTTTAAAGGAGCTGGGACATAACACATCTGGGTTTTTGTTTTACTTACTTACTTATTTATTTATCAGGATCAGATTTATTGCTTTATGTATTTTTAAGTCTTTATCAAGTTAATTATAAACACGGAGGCTGAGAATTTTGTTCAGTCCTAGTTTCTTACACTAACCAACTCTGCACTCTTACCACACAGTGGACTCAAGCTCTAGAGTTCAGGGCTTTCCCGCCATGGGACACACTTGGGAAGGCTGGGAAAGTGTCCTTGAGTTTTCCACCTTTCCCACCTCACCCCCGGGCTCACTAAATCTTCTCCCCTCTTTCTGCTTCCAGTGCAGTGAAGGAAACATGAGGAAAGAAACAGCTCTTGCTTGCCAATCCTAAGAGGTCATGGTCAACCCCGCTATACCAAGTCCCGGCTCCTTAACAAGATCCTTTCTCACAATAAAATAGAAAAGGTTAGGGGCTGGGGATTTAGCTTAGTGGCACAGTGCCTGCCTGGCAAGTGCGAGGTCATGAGTTCAATTCCCAGTACCCAAAACAAAACAAAACAAAAAAAACTACTATATTTATGGGGGAAAAGAGAAGGGAAAGAAGGAGAAATTTTGTATGTATGTATATACAGGATAGTTAACATAGTTGTTCTACTGTCTTCTATTTCTTTGCTGAAAGAAACTGTCAATGAGTCCTTGATGGATCAATATTGCATGCCTCTGTCTGTTTTCATGAGAAACCACTTTGAAGATATCAATATG